AAGCAGTAAAGCTTAGGGTTCACTAACTTTTGCACCTACAAAAGCCTTTAAAAAAATACTGGTTCTGACTAGAAATAATGGTAAAACAATAGAAAACTCCTGTCTACATGACTATAAGTCAGTGTATTTGTATTGTAATACCTATTCTAAACTGAATTAAAAACAAAAATTCAATTGAAATAAAAAAAAAACTAATAAAAAATGCAGAACTATAATAACTCCTCACCCATCAGTGATGGTACAGGGTCCTGGAGTACACCTGTACGCCACTGCTGCAAAGTTAGAAGTTAAACCCAGCAAAAGTTAGATTTTCAGGCGATGTTGAGTTAATCTTTAATAAAACAATGTAAATTCAATGTAAATTTTAACTGTAAAATGTAAAATACCTTAAGTTTTGGAGACATCAGTGTCTTCAGCGGCTGCTAAATGTGCAAAGAAAGAGCTGTCTGTGTGTTTTCCTCCTCAGGGTTTTGAGGGGACGCTGGTTTGGGAGAATCTGGACTCTGCTGGACTGAGCACAGTCAACTCCTCCTCTGTGCAGCTCAGTGATGGAGGAGGTGTCCTCAAGATCTCCTCTGTATGTATTGCCGTGGTGTAAAAAATAAAAATGTATAAAAAGAAAATTCTCTCTCATGTTTTGACGTGAAAGGGGGGAAAGTTCAAGGAGATTTTAAAAACCTTTGCTATTTCTTTGAATTTCAGATTGCAGAGGGAATATTGCCTCATAGGAGTGCACTTGGATTTCCCGGTCTGGCTGGAGGGTTCACATTTACTATCTACGGTTGGTCCAGCAACAGAATTCATTTTGAGCTTTTTATGAAAACAGTTCGATCAAAATCGCTCCATGAGCCACCTGTTATAAAAGAAATCCCTACGTAAAAATAAAAAAAAACCCACTGATTCACTTTGGCAGGTTATGAGATTAGCTCCTTTTTCGCCTCAGGGCTCTTGCATATGTGCCAAATGGAAATAACATTTTTTTTTCCCCCTCCTCTCCACCCTGTTACATTATTGATTGTACCTCCTGCATGTGTTTGCGTTTTGAGTTTATCCGAGAATGGATTTGCAGTCATTTTGGGGAAGAAAAAAAAAAACTAAATTAAATTCACTATCTAATATCTCTGAAAACAGAACTAATGATCCATTCTATAAAATGTTACAGTTTTATCATATTATTTTGCCAGCTAGTGATTTAAGTTATTATCCCTCAAAGGTGCCTTAATTTATTCAGAACATGGGTGAATAAAAAGTTAATGTGACTCATTTTGGACAAAAGCTCCTTCACAATTTTCCCCCAATTTATCAATTTTTTCCTGTCTTTTTTTTTTTTTTTTTTACCCCAATCACATGCCTCCCTATGCCCACCCCTCACCACCTGTGCGTCAGATGGGGACGGCCTATCGGAGCTCCTGCGGGGCCGCCCAGCCAGGATGGAGCACCATGCCTCCAGGCTGCGGCAGGAGGACGCTACCCTGCAGGAGGAGAGCCTCAGGCACGGCGACATGGTGTTCGTGGACGTGGTAGACACCTACAGGAACGTGCCTTCCAAACTGCTTCAGTTCTATAAATGGTATGCCAAGTGCTAATGACTCGATTCTCTGTCTCCAAATTGCCTGGGCCCTCCGAGGAAATCAGCAACCTAAAATGAAAGTGTGTCGTCGCCTCAAAATGTCTCGCTGTTAGAATCACGATTGCAATCACTCAGTCAGGCAAAAAAAGTACAGTTGTGAGTCATCAGGTAGCAAAATATACAGAGTGGTCTTAAGCTTTGACTTGACAAGTATATTATTTATTTGTGAGACCTCCTGGCCCCTCACTCTCTCTGGTATTTGAAAGTAAATCCACTCTGAGATGTTGCTAAAAAAAATCAGAAGGTGGGTTTTAATTAAGTTTGCAAATTCCTTCTCTGGCAGGTCTGTGGGAAACGCTGACTTTAATCTGCTGCTGAAGACTGATGATGATTGTTACATCGACGTGGACTCAGTATTAATGAAGATTGACCACAAGGGTCTCAAGCGCAGCAATTTCTGGTGGGGGAAGTAAGTACAATTTGATGCTTGATCCTTTTTTCAATGTATATTTTGCTTGGGATTTTTAGTCCCCTTGTGTTTGGAAACTTAACTTTGGTGCACTGTCAGCTGAACCCTTTAAATGAAAGGAACAGGAATGCTCTGTCAAAACGATGGTGGTTCAGGTGAAATGCAGACAGGATGTGATGATGATGTATCCACCGTCCTGACCCAGTTTCAGGCAGAGCTGGGCAGTGGATCGCATTGGGAAGTGGCAGGAGCTGGAGTACGCTAGTCCAGCCTACCCTGCATTTGCCTGCGGCTCCGGCTATGTGGTCTCTCGTGACCTGGTCCAGTGGCTTGCCAGCAATGCAGATAAACTGAAGGCTTACCAGGTAGAGTACCCGAGAGCAAGTGACAGTAGGGGGTTTGGGGGGAGATAATAATGAGTATGATGTGAGGAATTTGCCCCGGATGTGTTGTTACAGGGGGAAGATGTGAGCATGGGGATATGGATGGCAGCTGTTGGACCACAGAAATATCAGGTAATAAACTGCTTTAATGACATCCAGAGCTGCCAACTCCTGAACACCACACAACTTATCAAGTGTCAGACAAACAGTTGTTTGAGTTCAAGATGCAAATATTAATTAATAAGGAAAATATTTACAAAACATAATAAGATAATATAGAATTACAAAATTATCCCCATAACTCAATGATCCAAGCAGCCTCGTTTTAGTTTTGCTCCGTCTCAGCATGAAAACCCTGCTGAAGCTCATACTGTGAGCGATGAAGATGAGCTCAGTTTACTGTGGGCTATCAGTCAAACTTTATTTGTGCGCCATCTGTTATACAAGTTAGTGCCATTCTCGACAAGTGACTGAAACTAAAAAGATTAGTAGGACAGTGGAAAGATAAGCAGTAAAATAATGGGAGGAAGACGCATAAAAAACCAAACAAGCAAACAGTCGATCATACTCACTTTATTAACAGTATCTGGGTACTTAGAGCTCAACAATACACTAATAAATTACTGTGTATTAGCTGTGGCTCAGGAGGTAGAGCAGGTCCACTAATCAGAAGGTTTGTAATTTGATCCCCGGGTCTTCCCTCTGCATGTCCTTGGGAAAGATACTGAACTGAATGAGATATGTAGTGTAAAGCACTTTACTTTTGGAAGACTAGAAAGGTTCAGTCAATTTACTCTTACTACTAAACCTTGCTGAAGACGTACATATTGATTTCTATTCGGGCTGCAATTACATTTTTACTGAAAAAACTTTTTGGTGACATGTTGTTCTTAAATCTGGAGAAAGAGATTTGTTGGCCAGTGCATCTCTGCAGCACTGCAGTACTTCATTATAATGCTGTTTGTCACATTTTACCTTTAAGCTTCTGTGATTTGAATATTGCACTGCCGTATTGTGATTTTGATAATGTATTGATTAATTGTGCAGCTTTAATTTCTATGGAAAACACTGAGATTGTCATTATTTTCCTCTTCTTAGTAATCCTCTATTTAACTTTGTGATTTAATATCCATTTAGATTTGTATGCTAAATTGTATTCTGTAGTTTTCTTTACAACTCTACATCTTTAATATACAAACATATTGCACATCCCTTAATGTACAGTAGCCTTTTAGCACAGCTAGATCAGCTTTACAGCATCTCACTGCACAAATTGTCAGCATGTGATAAATAAAACCTCTAAAATCTGAAATTTGCTGGCGCTGTCTGTGGAAACTTGGCACAGCGGAGTTCAATTGCGGCATATCAAAGGTGCATTTTAATGTTAATTAACCTTGAGTGAGACTTTAACCAGTTTACAACTAATAATCAGTCTGTGCATGTTAACACAGCCACTGTCCCTGCTTTGCCTAACACCAGGACCCTGGCTGGCTGTGTGAGAAAGAGTGCTACCTGGACATGCTGTCTTCTCCCCAACACACGGCCGAGGAGCTGCACATCCTCTGGGACAGGAAGAGGGCCTGTGGAGACCCCTGCGGCTGTCCGTGGGGCCATTAAATCTGGTTCACACCACACTCACCAGGTGGCGCTGTGGGTAAAATGCACTCAACACTTGTTGTCAGTTCAGTTTCTGTGGTTTAATTAAAACCCAAAACTGAGAGTTTTACCAGTTATTATTATTATTATTATTATTATTATTATTATTATTATATGATTAAAAAAACACTTAGATTTTTGAAATGTGAGACTTTATGTTGGAAAATAATCTTAAAAACATTGAGATTTCATTGCAGGTTCTTAATATTAACAAAAAAATACTGTGCCAACATAATAAACCATTTGTAGCTTCAGAATATGTTGAGAACTCACATTTAGCTGTAGCCTCCTGTCAGTATTTGTATCATAAACTCAGTTTGAGATTGAAAATGTCTTCAGTGGAACAAACAAAATGTAGAAAAGTTAATTTAGTAATGTGATAACTGACAGGGACGGACATGTGCAATACCAGCATGTGGCGGTCATCATGTACAGACTTGAGTACTTTGTAATATCACGATAATTATTGGTACTCTGATACTTGACAGACTTTAAACCTTTTGGTTTAAAAGGGATATTTGATGGAATTTTAAAGGTGATTGCTTTACATTGCTATATTTTGTAAATTATTGTCTCAAGCTTTTCATCCTCTTCACTATTTGTAGATTTATGACAAGCTTTGTCACAAACACACACAGTTTGTACTGTAATTGTCATTGTGCAAATAGTGATGTGGCCTTACTGTATTTGTTAGGCGTCATACTGTATGTATGTTAACACTTGTGATATCGACACAGATTTAAATCGGTGTATTTGCAGTACACGTTTTTTTGGAAACTTGACGAAGCAGTCGGGTAACTGTGGAAGAGACTCACTGGTCTGGTTTTATGAAACACTCCTCACAGGAAATAAAGAACACTTAAGAGAGATTAATGACTTCCTTGTGGTTTATTTTGGGGGGATGATGCGCACGGTAACCTCGCAGGTGCTGCCGATTCGGATCCATTTTGGGTCTGAAGTTTTGTGTTTCGCCGTTAGTGCTGCTCAATCAACGCCAGCGGCAAAACAATCGGCTCTTTACAGAATTCCGTTTCTTCTGTGAACTCACTTTGATCTCTATTGGTGATTGTTTTCCTGAGACAGTGAGCCGGACACTGCTGGAATGATGAACAGGAAAACCTGTGCAGTGTTTTTTAGCATCAGTGCCTTCATCTTAATCAATAGGACTGAACACATCCAGCCATCAAAATCTTTTAAAATGTTGACACGAGGCAATGTGGTAAAATTTGTTGTGAGCCTCCTCTGAGCATATGTTTTTGGTGGCTGCAGTGATGTGTTTGTTCATTCAAGTATAGCCACGTGATTGATGCTGAGTCACTAGAATGAGATTGCCTTGCTGTGTATTTTTTGTGAATAATGAAAGATGATGCTGAATATTGTTCTAATGGAGGATAATACAAGTCGTTTGTTTTATTTAGGCCTGTCCTACCTGCCAAAAAAACTATTCCTGCAATTAACCTGACATTGGAGTACACATTTGAAGCCCCTCCTCCTCCTCCTCCTCCTCCTCTCCCTCCCCATCTTATCCTTTCACCTCCTCTCTTTCACTGAGCTGCATGATAACAAAGTCATATCCGCATCTGTTCCACTCTCCTACGTAGATAAGGACGACGTTTTTCACTCCATCAGCCTCCCTCGCTGATTTGGCTCGAAGCCCTTGGTTGTGAACCGAGAGGAGAAGCGTGGAAATAACACACAGATGAATAAGAAGGAAAAAAACTACTCATTTCTGCTCTAGTGCTTCTTTAGAAGATGAAGTTATTGAGTTTGCCTAAATTCTGAGTGCTGTAGGGATATTGTCACTCACCGGTGTAAAATGTTTAAATAATTTTTTTTAATTTCCAGAGATATGCTCCACATCGTCTGAGCTCTCTCATACGTACCCATTCAACCAGGCAATCACATCAACCACATCAACCTCGCTTAATAACTTGAGACAAATTGTACCGTGTTTATCTAAGAATTGCACTCGTGTATTATATCACCAGTCTTCCTGGGCTTGTAATTCAGCTGTTTCGCCACTTTCTAATGTTTTATTACACCTTATTTCCTGCCAGTGTACAACATGGAGAGTACTATTCTGCTGCAAACTGCCTCATATATTTGGAGGAAAACGCTCATTTGGCGTAAGCAAGAGTTAGATGGTGTGAAATAATGTGTCAAAGGGGAGCACTGCTCAAGAATTCCTTTGTTCTCTGAGAGATCAATATGTGTGAATATTTGCTCCCAAAGCTGGATGCTTAAGGAGTGAAGTAGAAACAAAACAGGCTGTAATGAAAAGATCTCAGCGACCCAGAATATGGGATTCATCCATATGTTTGATACAAATAAAACCCCCCCACACACACGTTTTGAACCGTCTCTCTGCCCTTAAGCGCTTGTGTAATCTTTTCTAAGTGACGACAAGAGTACAATTCCCTGAACCACTGACTTATTTTCTCTCTATTAATATTTTGCCATGAAAGTGCAATCATCCGTTTAGCCTGCCACAAGCACGGCTCTGAGAAAATAGAGGGAACTTGGGCGCTCGAGTTAATTGTATTTATAAAATCCTTTTCATCTCGAGTCTCACCTCTTCCCAAAACTCATCGCTTGCAGATTGAATACCAGAATGTATTGACATTATGAATTTGGAGTCTTTATTTTCTGCATGTCCGGCTTTGGCAAACACGTAGATTTTCTGGCGAGTGTTTCAGAGTCTTTTCCTGTCTGATGCGCCTCCACAGCCATATCCGATTTCCTCAACACCACCTGCCATGTTCCAAATTTGTTCTTATGAATAGAGTATAAACCGGATGTTATTGAAGACCACTCAGCCTATTTATAAAAGTGTTTACTGTTGCCATGTTAGTTCATATAAGTGAACTGTCATTGTTTGGGTCACATGGGTTTGCATTTGTATCGCTTGGAGGCGGAGTGGAAAGTTGGATGTTTAAACCATTTATCTCTTTCTATCAACCAAATTCTTCTTGTTTATTCATCACTTTTACCTATTTCAAATGTTTATTTATTACTTTTTGCCAACTATTTGAACAGTTCATTCACTGTATTTAGTTATTTCAACTGTGTATCCATTACTTTCTATTCATTATTTTAAGATTAACTATTTATCCATTACTTTGAGTTAATATTATACAACTGTTTTAATCCGTTATCCATATTGATGTTAAAGCAACATAATATAACTTTTCTACCTTAGAAAAAAGAGCTTCACAATAATTATGAGGCCTCAGTCATTACATTAATTACTCTCTGTGCCTGTTCACCTTTGTGCCCAGGACTAAGGCAGTAAGTCACACACCAACCATGTTACTGATTTTTGTGGATCATATTTTAGGGAGAAAATGTTTCCTTGTTTTCCCTCCAGCTGTTCCCCCTCGACTCTCTAATGTTGTGATTCACAGAGTTTCCAGATGGAGGGACATGTAGCTGCTGTTAGCTAGTTAGCTTAGCCGCCAGTCGGTGCTAGTGTTGGTGTCTGCAGCGCTTGTGCAGGAGCTTTGGATCACCAGGAGGACGACGTTTACAGGACTCACTAGTTTTTGATTGATTGATTGATGTAATTATATCAAATGCATCTTTAGTTTTTAAAAGTCACAAGAGTTGAGTGAATCACTTGACTCCATGTACCACCGTTTGGAGCAACACAGAAACTTTTCAATAAAAGATGTAACAAGACGAAGCAGACGAGAGGGAGACTCGACCCTTATTTGAAGCTTCAGTCAGCTTTGCACAGAAACAGCAGTAGAAATGCTCTTTAGGGAATAAGAAAGTACTTTTTACTTTTATACTTTGAGTACATTTCCTCTACTACTTTTAAGTCCGGATGAAATGAAAAATGTAATTTAAACCCTTTAAGATTGCATCCTCAGTTATATTACACTCCTGTTTAACAATACAAGCCAAACAAATCACAAAAACTCATTTTATTTTTATATCAAAATCTGATCATATTGTCTTCCTGTAAAAACTAACCAAACTAAAGAAGTTGAATCTGTACTTTTACACAAGTATCTGCTCTTCTACTTGAGTAAAGAAGTGTGTGTGTGTCTGCTTTTACCACTAGTGAGGGCATGTGCGGTACCTATGTGTCTTACTTTATAGCACTGTGGAAACATACAGCACATTATGGATACAATTAAAACTTACCTGTCGTGTCAAAGTGAAGATGCCACGAGATCGGATCAGGAACAGCTGTCACAGATGTTAGAGAGAGGAGCTTACAGTCTGCTCAGTGGCGTGCATCTGCATACTCGTTCAAACAACTTCAGATTCTTAGACTCTCCTCGCAGAGCATTACACATTGCTGTCAATCAGCCTACTCTTCTCCCAACACCCCCTCTTCTGTGTGCACTAAAACGAGGAGGAAATCATTTATTCATGACACCCGGCATCTAAAACCAGTATTTCTGACTGATTCTGATTCACAGGAATGAGGAGATATTATTAGAAACACAACTATGTCCTAATGGGGCAACATTTTCATTCCCAATTTGAAATCGCACCAAGAGCTCTCGTGCTCATTTCCATAGCAGCTACAGCGTCTCAGCCTGGCGAGGTTATGGCTGCTACCTTTTCTTTTTTCTTTGCAAACATTTGCCGAACGCAGCTGTGAAATGTGTGACATTGTGGATCAGTTAGAGGATACATTGGGTAGAAGGTTAGCTATTAAACAGTACATAATTACACACGTCTTTGATAAAGTGATGGAAATACAGAGTGACTCATGGAGTTTCATAAGCCCTCTTGAGCCCCGCTGCAGTGACATGGCAGATTTACTATCATAGTGTTTGTTAGAGATAATTAGTCATTCAGTCATTACTGAACCATTACTGACAGTCATTCTGTCTTAAGAGGATCATGAATTAGCTCATTGGTCCGTTGATGAGATTCTTGGAAACCACTTGGTCGTTTTATGTAACCTGATGCAACGCCACATATGGAAGAAATGTCATGATGTCAGCTAAGTGAATCTGCTTGCCCCTCGGTTCAGCATTAAAGGGGCACTCCAGCAATTTTAGTGTTGCACTTGCACAACGTTGCAGGAATAAAAAGGGTGGTTAAAATTGATGCAGCAGGGGCGCCCTGGTAGCTTATCTGGTAGAGCTGGTCCCCCATGTACCAAGGCTGAGTTGTTACTGCAGTGGTCATGGGTTCAGCTCTGTCCTCTGGCCCTTTACTGCATGTAGTCACCCGTTTCTTGTCAGTCTG